GAAAAATGTGCAGCACATAAAAACAAAAACATGTACAAGAACTGCAAACATGCATAATACAGTTTTTTTTTTCACATCAAAAATCACATATTTTACATCCTCAAATCATTGCATCAAAATGTTGTAAATAATTTTTTTTTTTTTACATAAAAAAAATCAAATTGACGAAGTATTAACTTTGCTACAACTGCGAAAAATATTATGTAAACATGAATCGTAGCAGTATGTTATGGAATCATTGTAGTGGATAAATAAATAGATCTTTTATCGCATAGAAATTCGCTACCTAATTTAATTATAAGACCAAAAATTTTTGATACATAACATCTTTTGTTTTTTTTCTTTTATTATGTAAAATTTCGTACTTAGAAAAGCTTGTTATCTACTCTTAAGATGGAAGCTCAAAATAATAAATTTTTTAAGTAATGTTTAAAAAAAAAATTAAATTATATACTCCTCACATTTAGTCAGGCTTTGTGGTGCCCCCCTATCCCTTGGTGCCCTAAGCACGTGCTTAGTGTGCTTAATGGTTAATCCGGCCTTGACTCGAACCCATTATAAAGTGATTAATTAAAAGCAAGTTTCTAAATTCGCAGATCGTAATAGTATTATATTAAAAAAGAAATCAAAATTTTATACACAGTATAAAATTTTGATTTGGAAAAATTGTTTAAATATCTTTGTTTTACAAGTGACAAGTTTGAGCCTATGTATCAAATGTGTTATGTCAGGAGACAATAAAAACCTTGACAATTTTAGAATTTTTTTAAACACACTAAAGTATGCTTAAAAGTAAAAATAAGTATTATGCAAAATATTTTGATCATCAAACTCTGCATAAATTTAGTATTTGCCTTGTTTTTTCTAAAATTTCATGAAAAAGTTATTTTGTGTAACTTATCTTTACAATAAATTGTTTAAAGAATTAATTTTTTTAGGCTGAAATATTTAACAAGTATCTACTAATTTAGATATTAGTAGATACTTTTTAAATATTTTAACCTATTATAATTAATTCTTTAATTCATCACATTGCTTGTTTCATAGTACTTGTTAAAACATTGAAATTAAAATAACATCATTATGAGACAACTTTTCTATATGTGACAGCATTTGCATATGTTTATTTATTTAATTTTAACTTTTTATTTTACAGCCTTTAATACTTATGGAGTTAAATTGTAAAAAATTATAATTTCCTATGTCAGGTTGTGTAACATTCTCAAAAGGTGCTTTTTTCATTGGGGGTTTCTAAAAAGTGCTTAATTTTCTATCTTCTAAAAAGAGATATATGTGACAGCATTTGCATATGTTTATTTATTTAATTTTAATTTTTTTTATTTTACAGCCTATTATACTTATGGAGTTAAATTGTAAAAAATTATAATTTCCTATGTCAGGGTGTGTAAAATTTTCCAAAGGTGCTTTTTTCATTTGGGGTTTCTAAAAAGTGCTTAATTTTCTATCTTCTAAAAAGAGATTTTTTCTTTGCCGTGGTGTCGATTGTCATTCTGAATTATAAAAAATGCATGATTTTAATTATTTTCTCTGCAATATTTATCAGAAACTAGTTATTTCATCGTGATTGTGTAAAGTTTTTTTTTTTAAATACTTCTTAATTTTATTGATTTTATGCTTATAAATTAAGAACTTTATATGAAAGAAAAAAAATAATTTTTATTGCTGCACAGATCCTAATAATGATTTTTTTGTTTTTTGGAAAGCAATTAAAAATATTTTTTGACTGCTTAAAAGGTGCTTATTTTTTGTTGAAAAATCTGGCTACGCACCCTGTATGTATTTAACAGTGATGATTTTTATTAATGTTAAACAGGAAAGTTACTAGCACATTAAAAAGAAATGTAATCAGCCATTATACAATTTTTTAAAATGTACTGTTGATGTTTTTAGATATTAGTGCTACAAGATTCACATTTCTATATTGAATTCTTTTCTCTCTTGTCTTTTTCTCTGATGTTGATTATTATAATTTTTCTCTTTTATTGCATTGATAGAATCTAGAACATTTTAACCTTGAATTTTTTTTAACAACATAACCCTTTTTTACTAAATGCAGTGCTTCGAAAGTGATAATGTAATTAGAACAGTTTCTTTTTAATTATTATTTATAATATGCCAGGCTTGGATGAGTATGGAATTTGCCATTTTATCATGTAAATTTGTAAGAAAATCATTCATGTTTATTGTCTAGCTGCATTTTTAGTAGGAAGGATAAATTTAGACGTCGCAAGTTTTTTTTTTATATCCGTAGATATTTCTTTTAAAGAAATTCATTTCTCTATCTCTGAGATTTCTCTGTCATGGTTATGCTATTATTTGCAGATAATTCCTTGTCACTGAAAAACAATTGAAACTGACCATGTTATAGCAATCACAATTTCAAGTTCTTGCTGGGTTTTCCCTCCATTTTGAACTAGAACGATTGCGCAAAATGTGGAAATTCCAGGCATCCTTGAAGTTGAAGAGGGAGAAAGGTGTATTGTTTTTGATTTACGAGGGGTAAATGCATTACGCATGCTTAACAGTGAACAGAAGGTGGAAATGTAATAAAGAAAATAAATTGCTATACTTCACTATCTTAATATAAGAAAGCAAAAAAGGTCAAGTGGAAATACAAATTTTTGATTGGAATATGAAGGTGGCTAAGATACGCCTATATATTAATCAATTTTGTAGGGTTATAGTTAGCTGTACTGTATAAAACCTTTTATTTGGTTTCCAGAAAACCAGGAAAAACTTTATTTGCTTTCACTGCAAGTTTTGAACTAGGATGGCTGAGTCATCCTTAAAGCTAAGTAGATGGGAAGATGGTGGGGATACTTTTTCTCCCTGTTCAGTCGAACATAAAGGAATGTCAGACTTGGATAAAATTAAATTAAACCAAAATCTCAGTTAAAAAATTTCCAGCAAGCAAATTACTGACTCTTATAAACAGTTTCAACCCTTTCAGTGCCACCTAGTTTTGACAAAACTTGTTCAAAAATCCCTTAATTTATTATAAGTTTTAATTTTTATTTCATAACATATTAAACTAGTTTTTTTGAAGAAAAATAAAGCTGAACTCCGGAAAAGACATGTTCAAACAAAACAAAGATTTAATAAGACCCGACAAAAGCTTATGCTTAAAATCCTGTGACCTAACCTAAAATGGATGATCTACGTAATGCCAAGTTTACACACTGAATGCCAAAGAAAAAGAAAAAAAAATCTCTCTGTTTGGTAGAAAAACCAACAGCTGCCTGTCCAATTCTTAATGCCTGAAAGCCAAATGGTATAACGTAATTGTTGGAAATAGTTTGACCAATCAGTTGAATTTTCTCTTGTATTACTCTTTTTAATCACTCGCTATTATATAAAATCAAAGTTTAAGATTAATACCTTTTTGTATACCTCTTTAAATATTTCTTTTTATGAGAAGGATGAATACAACTAAACTTGTTACCGCTTCTTTATTTTAATGATATGCGCAATGACCGGGATATTACAAATTGGTTCATGATGCAACTTTATTATGTATAAATACTTTGGATGCTGTGTTATCATTGCTGATGTTTATATTATTATTTATTCTGTCAAGCTGTGGTGTGCTGGCTTGTTTATTTTTTTTAAGAATTTGTAAAGTTTCCTAAGGAACTCCGTGCTTCAGTACGTATGTATTTTCTCCTTCATAGTCATTTGTAAATTAGCCATCTTCATATTTAGTTTGTAATAAATGAGTGTTCAAACTCCAAGCAGATAGTCTTTGTGCTTCTTCAACACTGTGCTTAAATAACTTTGCTTTCAATCCAAGATAGTAATCACAGAGAAAGTGCAACTGCGCGAAGCAGAGAAAGAAATTCTAAAATCAGTCACTAGTAGATTGATTATGGGTAGAATGGTGGAATTTTGACCATTTTTTTAAAACAAAATTTTATTTACGAAAATTAAATCAGCATCTCATAAAGGTAGTCTGATTAAACGAATTATTTCTTTTTTTGCTCCGACTTAAGGGGGGAATGAAAATGCAATTAAAATACATCACTATGCATTACTATATAAGCATAATAAAGTAACGAGTAAAGCAAGAACACAAATTCTTAATTGGAATACTAAAACAACTAAAATTGGCTATTTTTTTCAATCTTAAAGTAGAAATATAGTTAAGCTGTATTAATTCATTTTTAGTGACCCAGAAGCCAGGAAATACAGACATCCAGGATAGAGATGGTTAGGATAATTGGTTCTCTACTGTATTTAGAAAATTAGTTGCAAACTAGTTTTTAGAACATGTAAGCAGACTAATTTGCACAACATAAGTTCAAAATTAATATGCTGTTTTGCCATACCAATTAGAAGAACACAAAATGAATGAATGTCGGATAACACAAATCAAAGCCCTTACTTTTTGAGTATTTAAATAGTTGATAATCCAAATTGTTATGAAGTTGAATTCTTTCAGCTGATATATTTTTCCCCCCATGTACTTTGAAATAAAAATTTTCTTTATTTATTTATTTATTATTATTATTATTTTTTGATGTATTGAAAGGAATGTTTTTATGCTATTATGAAATGTTTATATGCTTTTGTTTTATAAATATTCATTATCTTTCAAAGTAAGATCCTTGGTTATTTACCATAGATTAATTAATAATTGAAATTTATCAAACTTGTTATTTTCATTGTTTGATAATGAATAAAAAATCGTTTGAAAATATGTCTCACTACTCACAACTAACTTATTTTTTGATTGTTCCTGGTACTCAATGAATGATCAGTATATTTTTCGTTTTATACTTTTATAATACACACTTTTTTATTTATTATTATTAGTCCCAGATATAGAGAAAGTTTTCATGAAAATATTGTATAAATGTGCATTTAATAAACAATTAATGTAATATTTTTGTCTTAATTGAGCACTTTTTAAACTTCAAAATGCCAGTTGCAAAAATGTTAAGCTTTTTTTTCCTTCTAAATTCAGCAATTTTCTTTCTTAGATGACTTTTTGTGTCAAACACCATTGAAAGAATATGAACTTGCCTTCAAAGCTTTAGGTGCTTGTATATGGTATGTTTTTTTGTGTTTCATTTAAATTCATTTCGAAGATATAATTCACAGACTATAGTTAGATAGTTCACAGATAAGAATCACAGACTATTGACAACATATGGTACTGATTATCCCAGTAATCATGGAAAATTTGCACTTTCATTAACTTTTTTAAAGAACCCTAAAAAGCATAGTTAAGGCATAGAAATATTTACCAATTTATCTTTATGTTACCTATTTAACCTTATAGATAAAAAATAATTTGAAAAATAAGTAATCCATACCCATATTTTAAACTAAAATAGTATTAAGCACTACTGTGCATATCAATGAAATTTTTCATTGATGAATCTTGTATGAATCAATATGCTGAACATAAAAGCTTGTTAATTAGTAAATTAAAAATAATCCAAAAAAGGATAAAATACCTTCTAATATAAGTATCAATTTAAAGGCATTCGGGTATAATATGGAATCACTCATTATACTGTGCCATGACATTTTTGGTCCCAGGTTGCTAAGCAACCCTCTAACCTCATAATGTGACCTACCTCCCCAGAAGTTTGTTGCAAAATTTACTGTGTACCTTGTGTGTGTGGCTTGTATTAATATTGAATACAGTGGTGCTGCAAAGTTATATTTTTAGGAGGGGGGAAATTAGCATTTGGCCGAATGAAATTCTGAATTTGACTGAATCATAAATAGGTATGTTATTAATTTGTTTCAACAAAAAAAATATTTTGTTGCTAATATTTTCAGAATATGCTTTGTTCCACCACTGCCTTAATGATTTTATATATAATTATTCTAGTAAATGAGCAGAGAGAGAAGGCACTAAACTGTTTTGAGGAACTGCGGTTTGATCCACAGTCACAGGTTAAAGCTCTTGATAGGTACCAACTTTTCTAGGAAGTAAATACAGCTTGTACACGATGCTGATCACATTGCCACAAACAGGATATTGGTGACGAAATTGAGCTGTAAGCTCCATGAACCCCTTGATCACAATGAGCTGTTGCTTTCCCTTTATTCTAGTCAATAAATAAAGAACCATTTGATAAGTAAATATAAAACAGAAGAAATAAATTGATTTGTAGTTGAGATGAGGATATAGTTTTTCTGTATCCCAAGAATAAGTTAGTAATTGTCAAATCTAGTTTAATACCAAGTAGAAAGATAGTCTGATAGAGTTGAAGGCAAAGAAAGAATTAAAATACTCTCAATATTAGTTCATATGAATATTAACATAGAGCCTACTATTTAAAACACTCCTAATTATTTTTTCTTTTAAATGTTGTTTTTATTCTTTCTAAAAGACAGAAGAAATACTGAATTTTGTGAATCTTTAGGTCATATAAAAAATTATCAAGACACATAAAAGAGCAGAGACGGACATATTACTCATTTACAGACATAATGGTGTGTGGCTGCAAACAATCCTAATTCCCCTGTCCTGCTGATCATTAGTGAGATTTTATTATGGTGACAGCTCGAAATGCCCTTATATGTGCATGTTTATGAAAATGGACATTGAAAAACGTGCTTTTTCAGTTTTCAACCCAACTTTAAATGACTAAACGAGTAACTCTGCCTTGTCTTCCTTAATTATTTAAGCACTAGGTATAATGATTATGATAAAATATATGGTAGGTATAATGATAAAATACTATGTAAATTCTCTTAAATCTGTTCATTTTCGTAAACACTCATTTCCAGCTGTGTCTATTATTATAAACATGCATTTCAAGCTGTGTCACGATTTTAAACACGCATTTTGAACTCTGTCTTTTTTCGTAAACACGCATTTTGAGCTATGCTCATTTTCGTAAACATGATTTTTAAGTTTATTTTCATAAATACACATTCGAGTTGTTTCCACTTTCAAAAATACATATTTTGAACTGAATGACGGATAACACGATTATGGTATTTCAAGTCATATCTAAATTTACAAACTTACTGTGACGTAATAGTTTTCGCTAAACTGAATGACGGGGTGCAAAAAAGAAATATTCAACTTTGTCATAAAATGACTTAAAAAATAATAATCGCATCAATAACATTTTTATATCTAAATGTTCTTTAATAATTTCTCTAGAAATGCAAAATAATTTTTGAGTTATGACAGTAAGAAGCAAGCTCGGTAGTAATTTTCTGAAACAGCGGTGGTAATAACTTTTTTCTTCATATACAGAGATAATCGAACGTATACTTTTACAAGTTAAGTATTGTAGTCTTTCAATCTTAGAAAATTTTTATGCATTTAAAAATTAAGATAAGTTTCTTCTTTTGAATTTTTCATTTTTATAAATGGGCAAATAGGTTTTTAAAAACAAGCTAATTGCTATTGATTTGCTAAAGAAGATATAAGAATTGAGAAATGTGTACCTAAAATAATACTTATGACTTCCTTTTTTTCTGTGAGACAGTCAAATAAAGGTTAATATTTAATAATTTTATTTGCGTTTTCAAAATAAAATGAGAGGGAAAAAAATTTCGTAAATATGCGGAATAGTCAACCAAATTTCGCCTAATAGTGAAAATATTTGGAAGGTCACAGCAATCTCTCGTGACCTCCCATCCTATCTCCCCTAATTGAATATTGTATTTAAAAAAGTTATGATTTAGAAAATTGCATGAAATCCTTTGTGACTACTGCCCAAAAAGTGGTCAGCAAGAAATTGTAGTGTCTATTTACATAAATAGTTATTTCCCTGTTATAAGTATATTACTTACAATACTAATTTATACTATATATGTTATGATAGTAACTGATTCTAAGTAACCCTATTTAAATATGTTATTATAGTACAGTAGTTTTTTGTAAATACACCACTACATATTTGTATTTGAAAATTAAATTATCATAATGTCAGGCATATCTCGTGACTTTATTTTATTTAGAAGTAAATGTTTACAAAAATGCTCTGAAATAGTGAACAAATGTAAGATAGTTTGCTCTGAAAATGGTATTGATTTGCTCCTTTTTAACTATTATTTTTTTCATTAAAGTATGGCATGATAAGGCTAAGCTTTTGATTGATGATACATTGTGCAACATCTTAGAATCCATAACAAATTGCAGTTTGTAATTTGCGGATAATTACATACCTGTTTGTGTTCCTGGGAAACCCCTGAAGTCTATAGACTCAAAAAAATGTTTACCACGAAGCAAAAAAATTATGTAAGGAAAAATACGAAGCCAGAGTGAATTCATATTTTCTTGGGTATAGGTGGGTGGAGAAATAGAGGAGGAGGAAAAAATTATCTCTTTTATTGATGAAATCATTAGTAACACATGATCAATGTGCAGTATTTTACTTCTAGTCTCCCTCAATCCAACTGCAGTCAGTTTATAGTTCAACTATCTTTTTACTCAAGGGCCTTAGTGTTTCTAAAGTTGCACATGAATTTTGAGTTAACTAAGTCTATAATCCAAAGTTTGTTGTATTCTGGATCAGCTTTATGTTTTTTGTTTGTGGTTTTAAATTACTTTAAGATGAAATTCATCATTACTAGTTCTGATCTGAAAGAATTGGAACAAATAGCTAGAAATTCATTTTGCTAGAATTAGGACTGGGCTATAAATTGATGCATCGCGAACTATCGATGTTATGCATATATCGGCAGGCCGATATAATGACTTTTGCTTTAGGCGATGCATCAGAAATCTAATTTGAGCCACCGATAGTGGCTATGGTTTCAGGCGATGCATCAGAAATTTGATTTAAGCTGCCGAGATTGATTCTCGTCTTAGGCGATGCATCAGAAATTTAATTTAAGCCGCCGATAGTGACTATTGTTTCAGGCGATGCATCAGAAATCTGATTTAACATGTGAGAATCCTTGCCTACAATGCAGCGCACTGACGATGACTATTTTGATTTCGTCTAACTGCAGAGCTGTTGATAGCGTCTAGCTACGAAGACAATGTTAGTTTTGAGATGCTGAGTAACGAACAGCAAATGAATCAGAACTCCCGGTTTCGTGCGAGGATCAGCGTTGAAATAGAACGCTATGCATAGTTTCTTTATGCGCCATTTTTGTCTGCTGAAGTTAACTTTTCTTGAAGATTATTTTCAGCTGGACTGGTTATTTTGTGATCGCTGTGCTCTTTATTTCGTCAAGATTTAACATTTCTTGTAAATTATTTTAGTGAGATTTTTGCTACTTAGCGATCATGTCTTTGTGCATTATTTCGTCACTTTTTTGTGTGTGTGTCTGTGAGGATTTGACAATCGTTGCACAATCGCTGTTATCTTAAATTTTCGTTCTTAGTTCTGAACTCAATCTATTAATTAATTTATTAAAGAAAGTTTGAATAAAAAAAAGATTCTTCCTGTTTTTTTAATTATTGTTTTGCATTTTAAGCAATACAATTTAATAGGGGTATTTTGTATTTAACTTGGTTATAAAAAGTTAGTTTTTTTAAAAAATTTATTTAATGCACGTTAGTATAATAATTTGATTTATTTTTAAAGAAATAAATCTTCAGTCGTTTTTCATTATAAAAAAATTGGCTATTAGTTAAAACTAATATTTATTTCAATTGAATAAAAAGTTAAGCAATGTTTTGACTCTTTTTGGTAATTTAACAATAGTACTTAAAAGTATATATATATATATTTAATTTTTCTTAAAATTCATTCAGTACTTGTTTGTTTCATAATTTGTTAGACAGTCAGTATCATTTTTAAACAAATAAATTCTTAGTCGATTTTATTTTCAAAAAAGGAAATAATGATAAATAAATAAAAAACTTAAGTTTATTTTTACGTTCATTAAGTATAGAATTAGACCCTTAGTTAATACAACTTTATTATTTTAAATAAATAAATTAAAGAAGGTCTAACTATGCTTCAAAAGCAAGTTTTTTTTTCAGCAAATAATTTAAAAAACGTTTTACTAAAGTGAACATTTCTTTAGTTTGTTTTTTTCCTTTCGTTTTTTTTCTTTTAATTTTTAATGCATGTATGTAAAATATTTTGTTATATTATTATTTTTAAACCAATAGATCTTTAGTCATTTTTAATTTAAAAAAATTAAAATAAAGCTTGCTTTTTTTTTCTTTACTTAAGACATTTTGTTTTGAATTTATTTATTTTTGTTTAATTTAAAGATTTCTGATGGATAATTTTTGAACATATGCTAAATCGCTATATCGCGATGACTAACAGGCGATGTATCACGATATAAAATTTCTTGCATCGCCCAGTCCTAGCTAGAACTGGATTGAACCGAAAAATTGCTAGAAAGATCTTATGAGCTCATGTGTGTAGAAAGATAGATACAGTGGGACAAGCACATTGCACATTCTGCAATTCAACTCAATAATATAGGAGAAAAAATTTAAAGTTTTATTAAATCATGTTGATATGCTATGTACAAAGGGAACTCAAACTAAGCAAAAAATTAATTAAATTAAAATGATTTATTTGTTTCTTCCATTTCTTTATCCCACTGGCCAACATTGCAGATGAACACTGTACCACAAAATAGAAGGAAAGCAACAGAGTTAGCCAAAGTAGAGCTATTTTGAATAGATTAATAAATAGAATAAATATGCTGGGGAAAAAATGCACCTAAAGTGTCCCTTGCAATAAGTAGAGATCAAGCTTGCAAAATCACATGGATTTAACTAAATCACTCTCCTTTAATAAATTTCCCTCATAAATTCTTCTCTCTGAGACTTATAATCTTGCTTTAGGTCAGTAATTTTTTCTTGTCAACTTATTTACTAAATCTGATGTTTAAATGTTATGGATTTAGACAGATTGTGTGTGAACAATATGCACACACTTCCATTTAGCAGTGTAAACCAATTGACCCACCTCCACTGCAAAAATAGTCAATGCAAAACTTAAACCATATATTTTCTAAGCGGAAAATCTTTTTCTAACCATATTCAAATTCATTTTTGGTTTGTTTAAATATTTGAATAGTGTTTTGTTCTTTTTAAGCTACTTGAAAAAGTGTTACATTGAAGATTGTCTGCTTACAATGAAGTTGTTTGAAACTTATAAACCTATTGATGAAGCGGTTGTTTCAAATAGTGCTTTTCAAAAAGATCGGAAATATATGGTAATTGAGTTATGATGTTTTTAATTTTTAATAGGTAATTTAGACAAAATTATGAAATTTTTATATGGTCTATACTTAAAATTTGGTTTATTGGCTCTCTAAATCTTTTTAAACTTTTGTTCTCCGATCTTTAGAATCAAAGTTATAGTTGTTTTTCCAACTATCTGGTTGTATAATTGTTTTTGTTAACTCATTGATATAGAATAGCAATTACATGCTTTGAATGAATTTTCAAAGAAACATTGATTTTGAGAAAATCTTTTTATGCTGACACACATTACAAAAAAGTTAAGTATAGATTTGTTTAAACTTTGTGTGTAGATTTTACATAATGTTAGCTATGTTTTGAACTAAAAACTGAAGTCTAAGTGTGAATTTATCATTTTTATCATGCTTTTAGTTATGAATATGCTTTTATAACTAACTTTTATTTAAATTTAAGAAATACACTAGATAAACCTTTTTTCAATAATAGTTAAATTAATTATAATTTTGATTTAAATTTTTTTACATAATTATATAAAATAATTATCAATTTAAAAATAGAATTATTATTATTATTATTATTGATATCTTTAAAATTGTGTATAAATTGTTTTTATGGCAGCTAATATAATCACAAAAAGAGTTCTTTGTCAGAAACTAGTTATTTTATCATGATCATATAAAGTCTTAAGATATTATTTTGCATTTTGTTAATGTATTTATGAAAAACTTTCAACAATAGGAAGAAGATATATATTTTTTTAGTGTGTAAATCCTAGTTACAGAGTTGGGATTTTGAGGTTAAAAACTGGTTTTCAAAAACCTATCTAAGTGTCAAAAATTGTCGAAATCTAATAAGAACTGTCAAAAACTTGGGACAACTTTCTTTATTAACATTGAGGTCATTTTATTAGACACTAAATCATGCACAATACTTGCAATATATACCACTGAAATTAAAATTTATATTAATACAGTCAAACCTCGATATCTCGAACTTGAAGGAAGAGGAGAAAAATTTGAGATACCGAAAATTCGAATTATCGAAAATCTCATGTTATCGATGGTAGAATAAAGAAAAATGCTCTTTACATACCTTATTTACTATTCCATATGTATTCTAAAAACACTTTTTACACTTTCATTTAAAAAAAGATTCAATTGTTTGCTTTTGAGATGTGTAAGAAAGTTTCTCTATAACACTTTCTAAGTGGACTATAGCTTTAAATGTCTCCTCTGGCATATTCGGCTGCCTCTCAATAAATCTCCTTACAGTGTCCACTGCAGAAAGTGCTTGTTTGTTAGTAACATTGGGCTGTAAATCTTCGATTTCCTCATCCTCTTCTTCTGATAGTTTACAAGAAGCTTTCGTTTGAGCGATAATATCATTGTCATCTCACTGACCACACACTGTTACTGCATCATCCACATTTACAAAGTCATGAAATTCCATGTCACCAAGCTTCATGAGTCCGGTCAATCTGTCCCAATCATTTTCAGTGCAGTTTTCAGCAGAATTAACGTTATTGATTCTTTGACTACTTTCGTGATCTTTAATGAATCCTGCCTTCTTGAAGCCATTCATTATTGTAGAGGAAGACACATCATTCCATGTCTTGTCAGCCATTCGCATAGCTTGTAGAACACTAACACCGAATGGTGAAACCCCATCTTCCATTTTGGATAGGATTTTTTTAACCACTTGATGACGATACTTTACCTTAAACTTTGGATGATGCCCTGATCGAGTGGTTTAAGTTTTGAGGTAGTGTTTGGGGGGAGAAATTAAATTTTTACGTTTTCCATTTTAGGTATGGTATTGTGTCCCGATGAAAAGCACAATTTTCCGGGGTTTTTTTTCTGTTTTCATTTTCTTATTTAAATTTTTAAGCCAGCTTTCAAAAAGGTTTGATGTCATCCAAGCTTTTAGATTAGCTTCATATTCTAAAGGAAATGATTTTATGCAGCTGAAACATCTTGGTTTTTTCGATTTCCCTATCATCAATGGTTTTAACTTTTCTGTTCCATTCATATTTGCACAAAACAATAAAGTTAAACGCTCTTTATTTCTCTTGCCTCCATGACATGCTTCACCCTTTACATGCATAGTTTTGTCTGGAGTGCATTTAAAAAAAAGTCCGGTTTCATCTGCATTGAACACGTCTTTTAAGTCGTAATCCTTCACAATCAAGCATATTTTCTTCCTAAATTTTTCACAAACTTTTTCGTCTACACAAGCACTTTCACCACACATTTTCAAAAATGTAATGTTGTTACGTTTTTTAAAATTTTCAAACCAGCCATTACTTCCTTTGAAATTTAAGTGACCTAATTCTTTTGCAAAAGATTCATCTTTTTCTTTGATTACAAGTCCATCTAGAGGGATGTTTTGACTTCTACATTGTGTAATCCACATCATAAGGCCCTTCTCCATATCGGGAAACTCACAGGTTTTTAACTTCTTTCGCTTGCCTAGGCCATCCTCGAACTTTTCTAAGATAACTGCTTTATTTTTTTAAAAATTGTCGAGAGCATACTGCTTGGAATCTCAAATTCATGTGCAATTTCCTTTTTCTTTTTAGAATTTTTTTCAACTTCGTCAATGATTTTCTTCTTTATTTCTACTGAAAGCGTGTTTAATTTTCGTTTGCTAGCCATTTTAAACAAATGACTCGCCAAAGATCCAACCTCTAAGTGCTCTAATTTTCTCTGAAATAACCGAGAAAGGAAACTTTTTAGGAGGTTGTTTGGTAGCTTGAATGCGAAACAAAACAGGCATGCATTCACACGTATCTTTCACCCCTTGTTGCAATGATAAGAAATTTTACAGTCTTCTTGGAAGCCACCCAACCTTTTGATTCTTGTTCATGCCGTCATTTCTGGTTTTCTTTGGACCACCCCAAGAAATAACCTTGCAGAATAAAAGGACAAAGAGAGAATAGATGTTCATTGCATTGCAATGGCAACTGACTGAAACGAGATAAGGAAACAATAAAACAAGAATTTCTACTGAGGGGGGGGGTTAAGAGAAGTGATTTCAATGTGTTACTGCGTCTTTATGTCCATTTTTTTTTTAAAGTTTATCATTATGAGAATTAGTTTTCTATTCTTAAATTTTTTATTTATTTATTTATTTATTTATTTTTGGAAAATTTTTGTACTTTCAGAAAAAAAATCTACACTATTTATGGAAAAAACATTCAAGTTATCGAGGAATTAGAAAAAAATTTCGTGAAATCAAGTTTTTTTTAACATTGAGTGTATAGGAAATTAGAAGGGAATTTTTTTTTCCTTGGACGTATCGAAAAATTTGTGAAATCGAAGTTCAAGTTAGCGAAGTTCGATTGTATATCATTTATAAAAAATATAGCCGAAATCATTAAATTATTAATTGATTTCACTAAAAGCATGGTACTCTTAATATATTACAAGTAATAACTATGAGATGTTAATTATCAATCTAAATATTGATTTTATTTATTTTATGCAATGATTTAGGCAGATTTTTTAGATTAAGTAAAACTAAAGTGGTTGCCAATCTGATCTTGACTTTGAAAAAAAAATTCTTAATGTTTCTTATTATTAGTTATATGCAGGTTAGCAGAAATAGTAACCATGCGAACAAGGTTTTGAGGGACATTCAAACAGCCAAAGAAAAAATTTCCGTCTAAAAAAATTTTTTACAAAATTTTTTACTGTTAAAAAATTTGCCGCTTTGCAAATTTTTCCATGCTAAAATAAAAAAACATTAAATGCTAATTTGTGTATTTATTAGTTTGAATTCCTTAAGTTCATGAGCGGGACCTTTAATTTAGTAAATTATTACAATATCAAAGTTTTTTGAATTCTAACAATTTTAACAAATGCTTGTTTATTCAAGAATTGTCTAAAATCTAAAATCAAACGAATTTCTTTTCTTATGTAAACTTTACCTTCCAAAAATATTAAAAAGAGTTAATGTATTAAAAGAAAAAGAAAGAAATATTAAAATTTTCGATAAAAATATTAAAAAAAATTAAAAAAAAAAATAATTGTTCTGAGGAAATATTAAGGACTGAGAATTTTCTGCACTCCTGCTTATATGTACATCAATATTTCCAATCAATCATAAATATAAAATTTTCCCTGAGAAGTAAACTAATTATAATTTACCAAAATATAAATGTTTGTTTAAATGAGTTAATTTTTAAAATCAATCAATTCAAGGGTTTAATTAAGTTACCATCAATATTTAGTACAGTTATTAGAATAAATTTCCTAATTACTTTTTCTTTTATCATGTTATAATAGTTGAATAGTTTAATTTTTATAAGATGTTATAGCCAAATATGACTTGCAAAAAACTATATCTATATATTTTTTTGACATGACCTTTAAAACCGTCAATTGTTAAAAAGTTGCCAACAATGCCTTATTATGATTTTTTTTTAAAAAAGCTTAAAAATATTTTTGGATTGCTTCTAAAGTGCTTATTTTATGTTGAAAAATTTGACTATGCACCCTGTTCCACATATATTTAAAGATTTTAGTTCATAACTCAGGTAACCGTGTTATTAACCTGAGAAAAAAAATATTTTGTTATTTATGCATTACAATTTGCTGTAGAGTTGTTAATGTGGTATTATAAAATTGTAGGTTTTGCTCTCACATTTGCACTTGATTTGAAAAAATATTTTCTAAATTCTTAGATTTAATATTTTAGGGCTCCTGTGTAACAAAAATAAAATTAAAGTTTAATTAAGGCCCTTAAAAAAATTGCTTTATTTATATTTAGTTATGTTCTAAAATTAGAAAAAAGTTAAATATATGTTACTAAGATTACTATTTTGGGTACTTTCTTAAGGGTTGTTAAACAGTTTTTGCTTAGTTACAAAGAAGAAAAAAAAAGGAGAACTCATATATTAAAAGTAAAATATTGTAAAGAAACACTGCTTCAACTGTGGAGATAGAAGTTATAGACAATGTCAACCTTCATCTATGAAAAGGTATCCCACCATAGAATCGAGTTAACATGTCTTATGTATTAGTGATTAGGAATTGTATTTTTGTAGTGGTAGATACGCTACACAACTTTTTTATGAACTAATAAATAAAGTTATCTAAACACTATTCAAAAGATTAAACAAAAAAGAGCTCAAAGTACTTACTTAAGAGCTCAAAGGACTTGACATGTTTTACAAAAATATATTATCAACCATACCCTTTTTTATTGCTTTTCTCCTTTTTAAATTTACATAAAACATATATTATAATGTCACTTTTAACATTTATTGTGAAATAATAAAATTAAAAATGTTCCAAGCTTGTATTTGTTTACTTTATACACAAGAAATTGGTAAATATCTGTTTTTTATTAATGAGGCAAATATATTTGAATTCTTCAGTTTTTATATATATATATTTTTATGTTAGTGTTATCTTTTGCCCATTCTTTCCTTTTGTCAAACTGATCTATTTTTAAACATTTCAGATGATTTTAAGACATCGAATTTTTAAAAAAAATTAAGACAATAAAGTTAAATTAATTATTGGTCTAAGGAAAACAATGCATCTTCTTTTGCCTTTGCTGAATTAGGAAATGTACAAAGAGATGAAAGAAAAGAGGAATGTTTTAAGACTGGATACAATGATAAATTAAGTTGACATGGGAAGTAACTTATACTTAACAAGGGAATAAACTTATCAAAATAGCCTTGATTCTTCAGTCAGATAATGAAACGTTTGAGAGATTCATGCTATAACACAACTGTGAAATAATTGTTTCTGGAAAATTCATCTTCTGCTTAAAAAAGTATTCAGCTTAACAAGATTTTGAGTGAAAACTCTTTGATATAAAAATTAAAATAAACATTTAATAAAAACCTAATTATGAATGAAAAATAAGTTATTTGTCATATTGAATTTATACTGTATTATGTTTTTCTTATATGTGATTGTGATTTGTAAATATTTATATTTTATATAAAAAAAAAACTTATTGAATGAGACATTTGTTGATATGTGCATTATTAGTTTTAACTGCACATTGAAGTTTTCGTCCCATTGCACAGTTAAAAAAATATAATCCTAATAGTTTCTGAATTGAAGACGTAGTGGCTTTTAGTGTTTATAAAGGTTATTTCCCTTATTTTTTAAAGAAATTACTCAAATTCGATTTTAGATTCTTGACAATGTTACTCTCAACAACTTAGCAATTGTACCAAATCAGCCATCTGCTAAATCAGAAGAAACTTTATTTGGAACATTGAATTTCTGTGAAACAAATTTTGGTAAGAAATATTTTTATTTTTGATGCAATAATAGTTTTTCTATAGAATTTATATTCAATTACTCTTTTCAGTAACATAAATATTTCACAGTACAAAACTCTGTTCATATCCTTCCAGGAATTTATCATTCTCTTGTTAATAACAGTTTCATGACCCTAGAGTACTCTAGTAATAGTTTTATTTTTCATTATTTTTTAATTATATTTTGTCTAAGTAAAGTTGGGCCTCAAATTTCTGAAGAAATTTGAACCTGATATGCCAACAGATGGGCCAGCTCTCCTGCATTCTGGGGGAGACTCTCCAATTTTGTGTTTTTCTTCTGCCCTTCGGGATTGATTCCAAAATCGTCCGAATTTGACCTCTGTGGAAGGTCAAATTCAAAATTACCTGGTTTTTCCATGAAAGTTTTGTCTTTCTATTTGCACAAATTCCATTTTCCCATGTAACATTTCGTCCCCCTCTTGTCAAGCTTTCAATTGGCTGAAGAGCAGCTGCATGTGCCTCATCTTAGTTTTCACGTTCCACCTTGCCCTGTTCACATTCACACTCCTATTTGGACATTCAGGAGCCTTCGGAATCTCTTATCTTGTCCCTTTCCTTTCATGTGATGTCACAGGACGATATCGATTTCAGTTATTGAGAGACGTCTATCATCTCAGATGTGGGGAAACTCTACCACTCAATAGTTGAAATTGTTATTGTGAATCAAATTTTAGTGCTTCTTGTTAACGATGGGCAACAATCTGATCTAAGCTAATTTTTTCAACTTAAACATTGTGGATTGCATGGTGATTTTCATGATTCTTTTTTATATATTTAACCAAACAATATTTTTTTGATGTCGAAAGAAAAATATGCAACCAATCATATACCAATATATTTCCTTCCATTATTGTTTTGAGGAAAGGTAGCACTTATACTTTTTGTTCCGTTTGTGCTTATGATATTTTAATCATTTACAGAGGCAAGAATGATATTTTGTGGCACACATATAGGCAAAAGAACAAAGACGCTGTGAAATTTTTGCAAAGTTATGAAAAATTCATTTCCCATTGACGACAATTCTGTTATAAAGGCAGAACTGTACTTTATTACATTTTTGATAGAACACAACTTCCCCTTTAATTGTGCTGTTCTGGAAAATATTTCTGAACGATAGAATTGCAAGGAAATATGCCGTGTGTACAGCGGCGCTCAGGTACTTAAGGACATGTCTTTANATTAAGATTGACACTTAGTTCGTGAAAATCGGATCATTAGAACGAAAGTTATTCAGGGTGATATCTTTATTTTTTTGCGGACTGTACAGCGGCGCTCAGGTACTTAAGGACATGTCTTTATGAAAAGTAAAATCCAAAATTTTATGTTCACGCATAAGTTTATTGAATTGATAAATATGTATTGGAACAAATAACTTATTTTTAATATATTTTCACAATGAAAATCATTTATCTAACTGTTATACTTAAATTATGTAACATTTTAGAAAAAATATGCATTCCACATACTTAAGGACAACAAAATAAATATTTCTTTATCGTTAATAAAATTAATAACAATGTAAAAAATTTTTTAAAAAAATAAAGATTTGGAGCTAGTATTTAGTGTGTAAGCCTTTTGCGGCAATTACTGCTTCAAATCTACGGGGCATCAAATCTACTAATCTTTGGCATCGCTCAGGAGGTATAACTGGCCAGCCTTCTTGGACACATTTTCATAAATCACCAAAATTTTTTGGTATTGCTGTTTCACAAATTTATCCACAGCATCTCGATCGGGTTGAGATCTGGTGATTGGGAGGGCCACTGCAAAACCTCAATTTTCTTGCTTGACAAGAAGGCCTTCACAGTTTTGCTCGTGTGTTTTGGATCATTATTGGCTTGCATGATTGGTTTTCTTGAGCGAAGTTTCCTGTAAAAAGGCAGAAAAACAGTCTTGATAACGTCCACATACGCATGCTGATCCATGATGCCTTCGATTTTGTGAATTGGACCACATTGTGAACGTGTTATGGCACCCCACACCATCACCAAGCCGCCTCCACCTTTTACAGTTAATTTTGTACACCTTACATTAAATTCTTCACCGACTCGACGCCTCACATAACTTTTGCCATCTGAGCCTATTTTGTTGAACTTCGAGACGTCAGCTTTAGAAATTCGATGAATAATTCGATCTTCTCATTAGGTAGTTTTGCGAGGACGTGATTTTCGGGATGCTTTTTCATTACTTTTGGTCACTTGAATATATTTCAATGCTTGGAAAACTGCTGTTTTTGATAATTTTAACCGCCTACCAATTTCTCTAAAGCTTAAACCTTCTTTTCTCAGAGTATCTATTTGACATCTCTGTTCTTTGCTAACATTTTTTCCTTTACTTATTATAATGTTGAAATTTGTACTAAAAAAAATATATTAATATAATGTTTTAAAGCATCAAACATAGGTAATGTAGTAAATTACACTTACATTGATCGATAAATTGATTGTAATCATTCAATAACTCATGATTAGACAAACTGTCCTTAAGTATAAGAAACTTAACAAAATACTATATTTTTTAAATAAACTTTTATGAAACATTTATGAACACGAATGAATTATTCAGGATTGAAGTTCAACTAAGGTAGAATTCGTCATTATAGATATCTTGATCAAAACGTAATATTCATCCAATATAATGATGCATTTATTTTGAAAACACAGTCCTTAAGTACGTGAGTGCCACTGTAGATTTTAAACAACAGCTATTTTAAGGAAAATAGCAACAATTAAAAAAGAATCTGTGATAGAAATTTAAAAAATATCTGTTTTCAATATCAGCAAATCTGGTGCAAAATTATATCCCCTTGTTGTCATATACTATAATCAGGGCCAGATTAAGTGTACGCAGGGCCCTAGGCCATTCAAATTTTTGGGGCCCTTAGATCAAATTTTACTTTATTTTATTAAATTAGAACTAAAAAATAATCATAACATTTTGAAAAAATTTGAAAAATCATTGTTTTTCTTAATTTCTTAAAATTTATTTTAAAAAAATCCATTTTAAGGAGGCCCAAGGCCATGGCCTAGTCTGGCCTAATGGGTAATCCAGCCCTGACTATAATGAGAAAANTTCCCTCGCACCTCCTGAATTTATTGTATTGTACTCCTGAAAAACTCCTTAGAAACTCCTGAAATTTACTTTCTTAGAAAGAGTATGAACCCTGTTTATGTCTATGCTGAATTTTGGACACTCAAATGATATAAATATTGCCAATTTGATTTTAAGAGACTTAAATATAAGCAACAATATTCCACTTTTAAATTGCCTTTCTCTTGTTGCTGAGAATGCACCAAGTAATGATTGTTTTTTGAGGTTTCCAATGCAACATTCCAATCAAGCATCCCTCACATTCATTTATTAATAAAAATTTTAATAGATTTGCTAAAAAAAACTTTTTCAAGATTTCTTAAGCCTGCTGTAATGAAGTCTTCCAATCTTCTTAGTGTTGATTACAGTACAGTTGAAAATCAAAAGAGTAATAATGGAGATAGTGATTTAGTGGTAGGGGAGAGTGCTTCCAGCATTTTGAAAATATATCTGAAAAGAAAATTTTTTAGAGATTGTTTGATTATGTTTTGTTAATGTTTGTGACTATGTGATAAAAAATTTCCATTTAAAGATAATATTAGGATTAATACTCAAGGTGGGTGGGTCAATTGAAACAATTGATCAGGCCTCATTTTCATGGGGGAAGATTTTATCAATTTTTTCCTATATTCCTTTTATCCAACTCTTGCAACATTTCTAGTGTTGATGTCCTGCATAAATAATTTTGCTCTTTACAATAAGAGAAAGCGCCTCAAAAAATTCTCACATAAAAAATTTATAAAGCATTAATAAGTCAATTGAAGGACACTGCAGGAAATAATGAATTTGGAATGTTATTAAAGGTGATGTTGGGTATCTCCATTCTTCCTCGCAGTAATGTTACATGTGAAAGGATTTCCAGTTTTGCTACTAAAAATTGTACACAGTTTAGATCCACTATACTAGAGCAAACTCTCAAAAAAGTGTATACATTAAAATGTACAATGAAAAATAATTGCCATGAGCACAAATTGTAGCAAGTCTTAATTGTGATGGGCTAATTCTGCAACTGTTAGTTATCCAGGGTTCCCACGGCTCTTGAAAGTTAAAAAAAAATCAGGGCCCTGAAAAGTTCTTGAATTCTGCCATAGGGTACTTGATTTTTTTGGAATTAAAATAGTACTAATCTTTCTTACAATAAAGCAGTAAAAAAAATAATAATAATAATAAATTCAAGCGAAAATTATCGAAATTCTAATACATGCAATTTTCCATGCTTGAAGTGAGAAGGGGTTGAAAATGATGCATAATTTTGCTCTCCAGATTCTTCACACCTGTTAATTGGTTATCTCTGATGTTTAGAAAGCTGAAATTTCAAGCCAATTTTAGTTTTTATAGTCATAGTTTTCGAATGACGTACAGTATTTCATCGATTTAGAAACATGTTCTTTGTGTTAACTTCATTATTATGTTAGGTTAATATTGTTATCCTATTTGTTCTTTCAATTTTTATAAAAAGGGTCATTAGTTTTTTATTATTCATAGTCAGATTTTTACATTTAGTTTTTACTGCTTATAGATACAATTTAGTTCCCCAGATTTCATGGATTATGAATATACATCATGATTCACGCAAAACTGATTCTTGATTTATGGATCGGAATTCATACAAAATAGGAAATTCATATAAAATTGTGATTCAAATGAAAGCGATTAAGGAATGACATATCGAATATTGCTTCAAAGTGATTTGTAATCTACTCATCAGAATTCATTTTGAGCTATTTTACAGGGTTGCCACTCCACAGGGAAAACCTGGAAAATATAGGGAAATTAAAAATCACTTAAAATAACAGGGAAAATGCAGGGAATTTTTATTTTTTTTTTCTTTACAAACTGTGAAAATACAGAGAATTTTGTTTCTTATT